ATAATAACTTAAACACAAATTTTAAATTATTTTTCAATGTTTTTAATGTTTTATTTTTTTTTATAGAATAACATTTATTTTATTATAGTATTTATTGTGTTAAATATTTTATAAAAAAATTCAATAATGTGCAATAAAGTATAATTTACGTAATCGTTTATGAAATGTTGTCATTTGCTTTTAGGCATAAAACCACATGAATAAAAAAACAAAATATCTTAAATAAAAAATGTTTATTAATCTTCATTACTTAAATTACTGTTAAATATTATTAAGATTAAATGGATGAACATTTTTTTATTATTGATATTTTGTTCTTATTAAATGTTTGGGAGAAAAAAAGAGAAACAATAAAAAGTACTGTGTTCAAAAACAAAAACGAATATTATGTTCAGTATAAAGCATGTACAAAAAACAAAAATCAAATCTTTTTGTCCGTCTTTTTTTCTCTAACATCCGATTACACGCCTATTTCATTTCAAGACAACATGGTACGCCTTGCAAAGAGTGAAGATCTACGATCGGGGAAATAACACGTTTATTATATCATACCGATTTAAATGATCCTCGAGCACGTGGTAGGCATCATGTGCGTCTGGCGATTGGTAAACTTCTTCGGAATCGTGTCGGCTTTAAAGAAAGAAAAAGAGACAGAAACAAACGGTAGTAAAAAGAAAGAAGAGAAACGAAAGATCGCGCGAAACGTCAACCACGGGTCGCTTCGGGAATCAGCCTGCCGATCGCGACGTCAGGCGTAAACTAAGGAGGCGACCGGGAATGAGACACACGAAACAGGCCGAAAAGTTCCAAGCGCCAAAGAACTTGCGTGGCACTAGGCGCCGACAACGCGTACAAAAACGCATTAAGTTAAGCGCGGAACTCAGACGAAGTCAGCCAATCGCGATCGAGAATTTTGAAACGAATAGACTCATTTTCTCAGGGAATCCTCGATTGCGATTGGCTGACTTGAACAAGTTCTAATGCGTTTTTGTGTGCGTCATCGACCTCACGAAAGACAAACAGAGAAAGAGAGAAGAAAAAGAGAATGAAGAAAAGAACAGACGGGAAGAGGGATGGAGAGAGGAGAGCATGGAAAGATAGAGGCGGAGTGATAAGACTATAGATCGGCGCGTGAATAGTCGTGACCATACGATACGCACGTGAATTCGGATCGCGTGGCGCGACTCCCAGTTGATTTCTATGCCCTGAGATCACAAACTTTTCTATCTATACAGGGTGTTTCAGAGATGAAAATCCTAGTATTAAATGTTGAGACTACAATAGTTTTTAAATGGGAAGTTTAAACATGGTCAATCGGGTTATTCAAAATTCGTGCGTTAATTCAGATCCATTGATAGTAAAGATGCTCTTAGATAATTTATGTTTCTGGAAAACTTTTCTTGTTTATTTAACTAACTATGTATGCTAAAATTAAAATTGTAATCTCAACGTGTTGATAAAATTGTCGTCTTTAAATGATTGCAAGAATCTACCATTAACAAGTAATGCGATAAGGACACCCTGTATAATACACTAGATGCGTGTACTTCTCATATTTAATTGTATATTCGTATACTTTAAAACTTTACTTTAAAACTTTAAAATGGTTGGAACAAGTTATTTTTAAAAAGTAACTTGTTTACTATATTACTCGTTTAATTCATTAAAAAAAATAATTCGTTAATGTTATCGTTATCCAAAGAATATCAAGTTGTTATAATTTCCATTACTTTTTCACCGAATTTTTTGATGACTGATTTCTTTTTTAAATTATCTAATTGATCAGTTTAATCTGTTTAATATGATCAATAACATAATAATTTCTTCTTTTAAAATTCATTTAAGCACATTCCATATACGTACATAGGTACAAAGTGATGATTATATTTGTTATCGTTGCCTAAATAATATAATTGGGTTATCATTACCTAAAAAAAAGTAACTAACGGCGTTTAACAAGTAACGCGTTATTTTCCAACTCTATGTACTATGGATACTGCAAATAAATTACCAATGAATGTTTATATTCTGAATTCTGAATGCAATACATGACAATCTACTATTTCGTTAAATTTCAAGGTTTCCTTAATTATAGGTTCTCAAAGATTTCTGACAAAAATATACCGTCGAGATATGTAATAAACAGGTGTCGAAGTATACAAACAATTGTAATATCAACTATTAATTAAATCAAAATATTCTTTTCATTTCTTTCAACGTTAACTTTTATATAATTTATATAATAAAATATATTTCACATTATTAAGAAAATCTAAATGTTAATATTTTATTTTGCATTTCCTCAATTTTACCACTAGAATAACAATTTAATAATCTATAAATGTCATATACTGTACATCACTGAATATAGTATACATGTAAAGACATTTGATAAGCAACAGTATGCAGTCTAATGTATTATATGTATATGGCCGCGTATGTATGTATTGCTGCCGAAAACGCAGATGAAAGGAGACTGCAATGTATAAAAAAAGGGAGCGAAAGAAAAAAAAGAATTACGGAGAAAAGATTATCGAATCACAGATTCATCGTTTTCATAAATTTCAAGTATTCAAATTGGACTGAAATCGAAACAGAAGAAAGTTGTACGTAAAGTATACACATATACAGAGAAAATAGCGGGTATAAATGTAACGATGTAAACGTGAAAATGTTAGGAAACGCGAGTATCTTATCTGCGTAAATGTAACTACTCGAAGCGATAAGAAATAAATATCTATACTGTTCCTATGCAGCACACAGCATTCTAGCAATATTGAAGCAATGTTGTAATGTTGTTGTAATACTGACATTGACTTTCGTCTCATAAGGGTTTATAGTCGGTCTATTGTTGCCATACATTATTAAAAATCGGCAGATTCCTAATATTCTCATGTTTAAGATCCCCTTAATTGTTATTATTTTCATTATTCCTTCCCAAGAAAATCGAAAAAAAATTATATTGATGCATGTAAGTTACATCAAACTTTATCATTTCATCAGAGTGTTCAATGTGTCAATGTGTTACCTACGAATTATAGATATATCGAGAACTTGCATAGTTTTACTTTCGATATTCTACAGTGATAAATAATGTGACAAATATTGTTAAATTAAAGTTGACACCAATTACGTATAAAATTAATAATTAGATCGATTTTATTAATTATTAATATAATAATATTTATTGGAATAAATTATTAAAAATTATTATAAAATCGGGCTACGAGAAAAATACGTCTATCTTATTGTGTGGCTTAGGCAAGAGTGCCTAAAAATACGTCTATCTTACTGTGTGGCTTAGGCAAGAGTGCCTAAACTACACAATAAGATAGACGTATTTTTCTCGCAGCCCGATTTCGTTTGACATGATACGATCTTAGACTTCTCAAAAGTGTGGAAACTCAGCGTGTTCTCGTTAAGGTAGCGCCGAATCTGCTCAGCTTCTATCCGTTTAACGCACAGCCGTTACTATACATCAAACGTCTAAGATGAGATAAACGGAACACGCACGGATACGTACACGTGGTATTTAGACTTTATATTAAATGACGATTTATGATAGTCAAGTTCGTAGAACCGCGACAAACATAAGATTACATCTGCGCCATTAATGTCAATTTCAATTGTAATGTTAAGTTGTATATTGGCTGAGGATGGCTAAGTAGGCCAAAACGTCCCATCAATTTTTTATTTATTAAAATATTTTTAATACTAATTTAAACATCCAACAAGTATACTCGTTTATTGGTCTAACTCTTCTTTTACTTTATTGTTTTATACATACGAGCGATAATTATTTTATAACCCAACCAAATCAACTTAAAATTAATTAAATGTTCATGTAAAAACACACCTTGATTTATATACTGTCCTGAAAAAATACATTTTGGATTTGTATTCTGTATTAGATTATGATCACGTTCGTCTATTTATTTTAAGATAACATTATGTATGTTTTTCTAAGATTAGGATATAAATAAGATAAAGAAACCATTGTAAGACCATTCTCTACATAGCAACTGTGTTTTTCAATGGTCTCATTGGTCCTAAAAATTTTTTGACATATCTCTATTTTTTGATATAAATAGAAAACCTTTCGACTGCAGCAGTAGTAGAGTTCCTTACCAATAAGCACGTTATATAACAATACGAGTAAATTATAAGATTTATTGCATAGAATTGTCGAATAAAGTTATTTTTATGCAATAGTAATAATTCTCGTAAATCTCACAAGCTTGACGCAAAAAGTTTGTCGTGTTTGTCAAATAAATTAAATTATTAGAAACGAAGATAGTAACTTTATTCATTAATCTTTAAACCACCACATCCAAAAAAATTACACTATCACAATGTCGGTCTGACAAATCGCTATTATGCTCTCGCTAATTTTATAAGTTAATTATAATAAAAATGTATGTTTTCTGAATATCTGTGATGGGGAAAAGGAAAACTATTTTTTAATGTGAGAGTTAACAAAACAATCTCATATACAATAGAAATAAAATATATTTAAATGATAACAAATAAACAAATTGTTGACAAGTAACGTTTCAATAGCGATCTGTGAAACCGATATAGTGGTTTAAAGATTAAAATCGAAAGTAATTGTTTTGGTAACTTGCTAGTTTTTTTCACATCTAGTTTCAAAAGCAAGTTTCTCAACTCTATTTTTTGAATTTTTTGGCGATTTTATGTAAACAGAATTTATAATAGAACAACATATTAGACAAACATTTTATACCAATCTAAAAGCGAATTCGAAAGAAAACCATCGAATATATGAATAAGACAAACAGCAGAAGTCTACGGGCGATGTGTTTGTAGCATTGTAAAAAAATATAATATATAAGTTATTTAATGATCATAAGGCTCATTTTACGTAAAAGTCAGTTCGCGAAGTGGAAAGACTATCGACTAAAAATGAGAAGTCCAATTAGTTCAAGTGCTTTGCCGCATCCGAGTTATGAATCAGCTAATCGATCTATTGACTGACTAACCTACTTGAAGATGCACGAACATTTGGAAATCATGCATGAGCTGCGCAACGATACGAGCGATTGTCCACGTACCACGGAGGCTTAATCTCCATCATATTACACGAGGGACTTGCAGCTTTCAACGCGAGCAACTCCGCAGTCTTAACCGATGACTGGTTGTGACGTGTCATTGACGCAGCTATGTACGACGATGATAACGCTGGATAACGCGACCGGCCGAGTGACATGCGCCTGATGCACCGGCAATGTAAATTCTGCCCCACGTGTCTCGCTCTCGCATTCAGCATTCTCCTACTTCTCCTCTTTGTCTTCTACTTTTCATTTGGATTGTGGATTCTTGATCGATCTTCAGGAATCCACGGCATCACGATTTATCGTGTTTAACATTGGAAAACGCGTCTCGGTCGCGTTACATAATATCTCGCACGGACAACACAGATTATCCAAGCAAATAGATTAGCAACTCTCCGAGTTTGCCTTGGAATAGTGTTTTGAACGCCACCTGGGCGAACATACGTAGCAAACTAATATTCAATATGGCTACCTCTAATACGGTATATTTATTAGAGAATCTCTTAGACTTCTTAAAGACATTTAACATTGATTTATTTGATTAGTGATTAATTATCTTTTTTTAGTATTAATATTTCAAATAAATAATTAATCATTAATTAAATAAATCCAGTGTTAAATGTTTCTAAGGAATAGTAAAATTAATTATAGAAAACAGAAAAAGTTGCAATTATAATTAAAGTTATAAACCTAAAAATAAAAATTACATTAATGGTATAATTAAAACATAACAGTCATTATTAAATAATAACTTAATAATTGCAACTTTAATAGATAAGAATGTGGATAGTGTAAAAGGATACTGTAAAGGGAGGGTTGTATGTCAGGAATGAATCCTCCTCGTGTCAGGAAATCAGGTTGATAGATAATTCCACTAGCCAAAATAGAAGAAGGCAAACTAGACTTA